TGGTGAACAGGGTTTTCCTGTACTGGATTGCAGCGTGCCGTCGGTAGCATTGCAAACTCAGCTCTAAATTGCTGTTTGAGCAGGGAGCGGGCTGGCCAGGAGGGGATGCCCAGTGCTGATGTGGTGGTTCACCCTACCTTTGGCTTAGCATTGGGTGCCTTTGGTAGCCTGGATGGGTCAGGGTCCTGGGGGACGTAGGTGAAATCCTTGCTGGCTTCATGCTTAGAGATACTCCGCAGTGCCAGGGACATGCCGGCGGCGGTGCTGCAATAGCTGGCTGCAATGTGGCTTGGCAGAATGGGGCCAGAGGGGCCCCCGCGGTCTGTGCAGGAGCTCTGCAGTGATTGCAGGGGGCACGGGACATCTGTTCTGAAGCCAAGTGTCTGCTCCCTGGGTTTTGAGAAGTTTCTCTGTTTTCTTTGCTCTGGAAAAATTATTCTCCAAGCTTGTGGGACAACTGCTCTGGAGAGTCGAGAGCTGCTGATGTCCTTTCTGCATGGATTGACCTCAGCTCTGGGATATAAAGCATAAAAACGCTTCTCTGTAAAAGCTTTTTTTTCTGAAGTTGTGGAATCTGATGTGCTTCCTGGGACGTTGTTTGTAGGATGGGCTCAGATGAGCTCCTGGCCAGGACCTGCCTAAAAGGGTCCTTGCAGCCAGCTGGTCTGATTGCAAAAGCAAGTCCAGCCGGGAAGCAGCATTGGATGCTGCAGGGCTGAGGTTTGGAAGGCTGTTGCTGCTGTTAATCCTGTCCAGCTAAGGGCTTGCCAAGTTGCTCCTAAGCCTTCCCTGTGGAGCTGGACAGGGGAGGCTGCAAGAGGGTAAAGGCACAGATGTGTCGGGATGCTCCTTCCTGGGGTTCCCTGGTCCCCATGCCCTTCTTCAGGGCTGCCGAGTGTCACCACAGCCCATAAAACATCCCTGACGGTGTCTGCCTGTCCTCGGGGTTGCTGTGATTTCTGTTAAATGCAAGGAACCAGCTCTTGCCCTGCTCACTCCCAGCAAGCCAGCTGCTTTGGAGCCAGGGAAGGTGCTTGCTGCCCGCAGCATCCTCCTGCCCGGGAGCTCCTTGAGCCGCGGAGGCTGCAGGGGAGCTGCTGCACCTCTTCCCTCCCTCCCGCAGATCTGGTGCAGGCTGAGTCTGTCAGCATCCCCATCCTCCGGCCCCTGAAAAAATAGCCCGGAAACGAGTGAGTGCTGACTGTGGTTTATCCTGCTCTTTTCCAGGTCAGAGCGGCTTGGGGAAATCCACGTTAATCAACACCCTCTTCAAATCCAAAATCAGCCGGAAATCTGTGCAGCCGACTTCTGAAGAGCGCATCCCCAAGACCATTGAAATCAAATCCATCACTCACGGTGAGGCTCTGCAGATCCCACCTGGTGCTTTGGCTTTTGGTGCTGCTCTGCCTTGTGTCTCCGGGGGCTCGCGGGGGTTGTGGACCTCCACTAAACCTCCACTCTCATCTCTCTGAAGGGGCTTTTACCATCCAGAAATGCTTGCAGGGCTGAGAAAACATCTATTTTTTCTTTATCCACCAGCATTGACTTAATTGTGATGGAAGAGAACAAGTGAGGTGGCCATGGGGGTGGCATTTCAGGGCAGATGTGGTGGTGCATCCCTTTGCAGGGTTGATTTATGCCTGTTAGAAGCTGTGAAGGTGCGTTTCTCCCCTGGGAGCAAACTCCAGCCTTCCAGCTGATTTTGGGAGGGTGGGCTTGGCCGGAGCGCTCATCGACGCTTGCCTAACGCACCGGCTTTCCTCTCCGTTTCAGAGATTGAAGAGAAGGGGGTTCGCATGAAGCTGACGGTCATCGACACCCCGGGCTTTGGAGACCACATCAACAACGAGAACTGGTAAGCTGGCTGCGCTGACCTGGGGACCGGTGCAGAGAGAAGGTGGCCGAGCCCCGGGGCATCCTGACCCGGAGCTGGTGCCGAGGGCCGTAGCCTGGTCCTGTGCCACCCATGCTCCGTGGGGAGCCGGGGAGAGGGTTGTGGTGGGTGGCAGCGCGGTGCCATGCTCCCCGGGGCTGATCCTGGACCCTGTGAGAGCCCACAAACATCCTGCTGTTCCGGGCATGAGACAACCTTTGTTCGCGGCTGGGAGCAGCTGTGTGCCGGCATGGCCGGGCCCTGGAATGTGGCTCCGAAGGCTGAACTCTGCCAGGAGTCCCTGGGACAGTGGCTGGCTGTGCGGGATGTCCCCCCCGGGCTGGGGCAGGGCTGGCTGGCTGGCCGGTGGCAAGCGCTTTCTCCTCACCCCGAGCTGGGCTGGGCCTTGTGGGGTTTGATGCTGCTCTTGCTCCTGTGCCCCGATGGGGTGTGAAGAGCTGAGGGACTGCCCTGCTCAGCAGCCGGGTGTTTGAGTGTGTTTTGGGTTTGTTTGTTTGTTTTATGGGGTTCTGTGAGATGCTGAGCATCCCCGGCTCAGCGGGCTCTGCTTCACATGGTCAGGCCAGGTGGGAGGTTCAGGGTGGTCCAGATCCCTCACACAAACCCGTCGTCCCGCGTTCCTCTCTCTCTGCAGCTGGCAGCCCATCATGAAGTTCATCAACGACCAGTACGAGAAGTACCTGCAGGAGGAAATCAACATTAACCGGAAGAAGCGGATCCCCGACACGCGGGTGCACTGCTGTATATACTTCATCCCAGCCACTGGCCACTCGTACGTACCCTCAGTCCTCGCTCGGACCCTCAGGGCTTCCCTCTCCGGTGTTCGCTCTCGGGCAGCTCAGCCGTCAGGATCGTCCTCGGGATCCCCCTGTGTTTCCTGGGGACCTGAGGACAGCCTGAAGCTGGCTGTGGCATCCGGAGCCCTCGCAATAACACAGCAGAGCTGCTGTACCCCAGAGAAACGGGGCGTTTCCTCTTCCGAGGGGCCATCAAAGCCTCCCTGAGCTCCGGGTAGCTGCTTGCTTTGCTTTGGTCACTTTGCTTGCTCGACCGAGGATGGACACCAGTCGCTGAGCTCTCAGGTTGGATGGAAAGGCTGCCTTTGCAAACAGAATGTTAATTTTTTTTGCTGTGCCCCTGCCTTTGTAAGGGGAGAAACTGGTTTTCCTCATGCTACCGAGGGAGCGAACACCCTCACCCTTTAAGGGTATTTTGTAGGTTGTTTGACTAGTCTGCAAGTGGGATGCAGTTTATTCAGCGCAGAGCTCTCCTGGCTCTGGCACTTCTCAAGCGACAGCATCAAAGGCCCAGATCTCGCTCCTTTTTTTTTTTCCTTTTTTTTTTTTTTCCTAGGCACGTAGCCCGCGGTGAAAATCTGGGGCGCTTAAAGTGTCTTGAAAAATGTGACTTAAAGTATCACAACATAAAACGAGACCTAAATTTCCTTTTGATTTCTGTCAATTCCTTCCACTTCTGGCTCTGTCTGCGTGGGGATTTTTTTGGGTCTGTTTTCAAAAGTAAACTTAAGCTGCCAGCACTGTATTAATGTCAGCCTTTTCCTCTTCCCCATGTAGAGATTTATTCCAATAGAAAAGACTTTGTTTTGCTTCTGTCAGTGGGTAGACCAAAAATGCATCCTTCACTGGAATAAAATGACTGCATGGGCCAGTTATGCTCTTGTGTAACTGGCTGTCGATTGGGAGCAGAGGGGCCGACGAAACGTTTATGGTTTAATACGATAAAGCAGAAAACGTTTCAAAGGGAGATGACATTTTTAGGCCAGTCTAGTGTGTTGGTCCTGCTTATCTCAGCCCCGATCTGCAGACCCCGCCTTGGCTGGTCGGGGTGTTGCAGCATTAGCTATGCTTGAGCTTTTTCTCATTGCTTTGGGTGTTTAACCCTTAAAATGAGGGTTAAACCCCAAGTCTGATGCTTGGATCCTGCGGATACCGCACCCGCGCGGAGGTTGCACATTTTGGGGGGTGGTGGCTGCCCTCCCCGTCCCCGTGTTCCCCGGAGCCTCTCCAGCCGTGCGCTCTGGTTTCTCTCACCCGCCGGCTAACAGCAATTGCGTGGATATTCAGCTGGTTTTTTTCTTTCTCTGCAACGAACATGTGTTTCCAATATCCGAGCAAGCCCGGCGGTTGGAGGCCGTTGTTGCTGAGCCCTGCTTCCCCGTAGCCCGATAGCCCGGCTGGGGCCAGGCTCGCTCCCC